TTATGTGATAATGTCTTTGTGTAACTCCGATGACAGTCGCAAATGGAATCTAATCTAAACCTTATATTGTATTTGCATTTTATATGTATTTTGTATATATTTATAGAGTTTTTAATTGTATTTATAATTGATTTTATAATTAATTTATAGAGATTTTAATTTATACATATTTATAGAGAAGTATTTTATTTTACCATGAAGTAAATAAATGTATTAATAATGACTGTACTAACAAATTATCTAGATTATTTTCTATATTAATTGTAACAAAATTAAGGTAAGAATTGACAATTATCACGTTTTATAGTTTTTGTAAATAAAAGTTTTACTATTTATTAAATATTCAAACAGTAAGAAGCGATACAATCGTAATCTTATAATAATTAAGAATTCATTGCAAATCGAGTGATGATTTAGTTTTAGTATTAATTGTTTGTAAAATAAATAAATAGTTATCTAAAGTTACGTAAAATATAATTACAAAAACAAATTAGCGATCAATTAATATAATCAATCAAATCATTGATTCAGTTCTCAAATAGACTATAAAAAGAAGTGATGGCAACAAGAAATTCAACAAAAAAACATTGAATTTGAAAATTTAAAACAAATAATTAATTAATAAAAAACAACAATTCATAAGAATTTAAACACATTTCACATACAAATTGATAATGAATTGCTGTTTTGCAGGTTTTAAGACACGATTATATTAATTGTCGGTTTTGTATGTATAAACACAGTGTGAGAGTATATCTAAATGTTATACAATTCTAGCCGTAATTGTGATAGTATTCAACAGACAATCAACTAATAATAATAATAGTAATAATAGTTAGTATATAATAGTAATAATTAATAGCAAATAGCATTCAAAACACGATTTTCACTATTATTTTTTGGTAACAATAATTTGTAAGACAATAATCATAAGAATAATAACTTTGGGTCAAGTTTTAAGTGTTTATCTTAACTCCAATCCAGTGTTTAATCATTTGTTGGGCAATACTGTTGTCGATTCTGAGAGTGACGACACGAGTCGGGCGTTTGTTTTGCCACAGATTTAACTCTTGAATTGAATCATAATTGAAATTAGTGTTGTTTGGGTCGCTTCGGGTCGGCCGCCGGCCGAATGGCGGCCCACTTCACGAAATGCTGTAAACCCCTGACCGGAACGTTACGGCCCAACGCCTTCACCCGTAGGTTCCGGTCGTCGGTCAGGAGAACCACTTCACGGAATATACTGTTCGACTCGTCTGTCAATTGAAAACCAAATAGAAATTGGTATAAAAATATATAAAATATTCACAAAAATTATGGCTAAAAAACAAATCCATACTTGAATTCATAGCACTCTCTTTGGTTGCCTTGTCTTTGGGTTCGTCTTTAATAAAGTGAAAACACGCGCTGAGAATGAAGTCGTCGTTTGAATTGCCCTAAGAAGTGAAGACAATATGATTATCATCTCATAAATGGGGCGCACAATGGGTTGTGTCCGCACAAACCTGTGTATCAGTAATGGATTCGCTGATGAAATTAATCGATTCCAGAAGAGATCCCTTCGATGTGATGGCCTTTAACTTCAGACTCTTGTCGTTGAAGGCGGAGACCAGATAGTCGATGGCCTCCATCGCCGCTTTGCCCACATTCCCGATGTGGTCGTCGGTGAACGTCAACGGTTTGGTCGTCTGAATGCCGCGAGTCTTCAAACCATTCAATTCATTCATCACTA